AATCCGACTACTTCGACAACACCGAAGACACCTTCCAATCAACCTGGGACTACATGACGGAAGCTCTCGAGGAACTCGAACCGGTCGTAAGCGCCAATCAGTCTCTCGATTCTAGCATCTCGCGTCCCGACACTTCTGCGCTCTCTATGTCGCAGCTTCCGCAAATTCGCCTACCGCCGTTCGACGGGAATTATGCCGAGTGGGAAAACTTTCGCGACCGATTTACCGCTCTGATCATTAAGAATAAGTCTCTTAGTGACTTCGCGCGCATGCACTACCTCGCGTCTTCCTTAAAGGGTCGAGCCCTTGATAGTATTAGCAATATCGCGGTGACATCAGATAACTTCAACATTGCTTGGAGCGCCTTAACGACTCGTTTTGAAAATAAACGGCGCCTCATTGCATCTCACTTCTCGTCCTTGCTGGGATTAACCGGAGTCGCTCGTGAGTCCGCCTCCGAGTTGCAGGCTCTCTGCGACAAAATTAATATTGCCGTCGCGTCACTGAAAGGCCTCAATCGTACACCAAGTGATCTTTGGAACGACTTTCTTGTTCATTTGTTATCGCAAAAATTGGACCCTTCTACTCGGAAGTCATGGAATTTAAAGACAAGCGACGCGGAAACCCCTCCGACATACGAGGAGCTCACGCGCTTTCTCGCCACTCGTATTCGCGCGCTCGAAGACAGCAGTCCCGCGGCGGCAGCGAAACCAACGAAGACAACGAATCCTCGCGTTCATGTGGCAAATGCGTCGGCCACCGCGACGACGGCGTGCCCCCTGTGCAAGGCCCGTCATTATCTTAGCGCATGCGTAAAGTTCACCGAGCAGAGTCCGACTCAACGCCGAGAAACTGTCAAGCGCCTCAAGCGGTGTTTCAACTGCCTGAGCGCCGCTCATACTGTACAAGACTGCAAAAGCCAGTATACTTGTCGCTCTTGCCAGAAGCGACATCATACACTACTCCATGTGGACTCGGATTCTGCCTCGAGTGTCGTCTCATCCCTCGCGCTTGCAACGCAGTCCGCGCAACCGAGCGCTGCGTCCAATGATGTAACGTCACTGCTCGCGTCCGCGACGACTCGCGATCGGGTTCACGTACTCCTCGCGACCGCGCGCGTTAAGATCAGTGTATCCTCTGGGCGTTCTATCGTATTGAGAGCTCTCATTGATCAGGGCTCAGAGGCGACGTTCATTTCCGAGTCACTGGCACAGACTCTCCGAGCAAAGCGCATACGGATGCCGACTACCATTTCGGCCGTAGGCGGCGTCAAACTCGGATCCGTGAGACACGCCGCGGACATCTCAATCTCTCCTCGCGACGCTGTAGCTCCGTTGTTATCAACTACGGCCCTCATTCTTGACTCCTTGACTTCATATGCTCCGAAACGCCGGTCGGACTTCTCGAATCTTTCGCATATCTCGAATCTTGTCTGGGCGGACACTGATCCTACTAGCTCTGATCCGATCCACATATTAATAGGAGCGGATCTCTACGGGGAGATCATTCTCGACGGAGTTAAAAGGGGCCGCCCTGGAGAGCCAATTGCGCAAAATTCCATCTTCGGGTGGATCATTTCTGGTCCTCTCTCTGTCGGTCCACCCTCCTCCTCAGATAACCTCCATCTCACGGTTCATCATTGCAGTCCGTCGCAGGCATTGAGCCGTGAAATCAACCGGTTCTGGGAGATCGAGGAAATTCCGTATGCTCACGTTCCTTCTCCGGAGGAAGAGCAATGCGAGCGGCACTTTCGCAGCTCACACTCTCGATCGTCAGATGGACGGTACATTGTTCGTCTGCCATTCCGTGCGGGTCATCCGATTGACGTTGGACAATCTAGGCGATCCGCGGAGCGCCTACTTACCTCTCTTTTACGTCGTTTCGCGTCGCAGCCGGATTTGAAACGCGAATACACAGCGTTCATGCGCGAGTACGAAGACCTCGGGCATATGCGCCAAGTTCCGGAGCAGAACGCGGCGTCGAATCAAATTCTCTATATCCCTCATCATCCGGTATTTCGAAGTGATAGTGCGACATCTCATTTGCGCGTCGTTTTTAACGCGTCCTGCATCACGAGTAACGGGTCCTCCTTGAACGATCACCTGCTCGCGGGCCTGAAGTTGCAGACGGACTTGCCCGCCATTCTGCTGCAGTAGCGATTGTTCCAATTCGTGTATTCTGCGGACATCGCTAAGATGTACCGCCAGATTTTAATCGACGAGCGTGATAGGGACTTCCAACGAATTTTGTGGCAGCCGGACTCGTCCGGTGCACCTCTTGACTATCAACTTATGACGGTTACATACGGGATGAAGTGTGCTCCGTATCTAGCGCTTCGCACGCTGAAGTGCCTCGCCGAAGACGACGGGTATCGCTTTCCACTTGCCGTGCCCATTCTGCAGGATCAAATCTATGTCGACGATATTCTCTTCGACGACCACCAGCTCGATTCGTTGCGTGAGCGACGGCGTCAGCTCGTCGCATTGCTGCATTGTGGTCGGTTCGAGCTGAGGAAGTGGGCTAGTAACTCTCCGGAGCTTCTCGAAGATATCGACCCTTCCAATCACGGATTGGCTTGTGATCTGCCTCTCGCACTTGACGATAAGGTCAAGGTGCTCGGCATCGCGTGGAATCCATCACGCGATGCTTTTCACTTTAAGGTTGTACTTGATAGCGCTGAGCCGAACAGCAAGCGCGCGATTCTGTCCACTATCGCTAAGTTGTACGATCCGCTGGGTTGGGTCACACCCGTCACCGCTGCCGCGAAGATTTTTATGCAGAACCTGTGGCGTTCGCAACTCGATT